TTTGTTGTTGTGGTGGTGGTGGTGGTGTCAGTAGTCCTTGAAGTCATTTCCAACTTAACAGTGACCTGAAGGCAATCCTAATGTGATATTCTCTCGGCAAGATTTGTTCAGGTGTGAATTTTCCTTTCTCTGAGGCTGAATGTGACTAACTCAAGGTCACCGGTTGGTTTCCATGGCCAAACAGGGATTCAAAATCTAGTCTCCAGAGTTGTAGTCCAACATTTAAACCACTGTTGAAATATGTGTAGATACAGCAAGCATGGAAAAACATGGTACCCTAGGGATACTTTTTAAATACGTCAATGCCTTAAAGGTATAGATCCTGAAGGTGCTCTCCCATACAGACAGCTCCTTTTGTGTGCCTAAAGGTTTTGGTGAAATAACATGCTTATATTTGGGTTGTGGAGAAACACACTTCCGCCTCCGCTTTAGAAGAGTGTGTGTGTTTTCCCCCAGGGGAGAAATACAAAGAGATAGAATAGAGGGCTGTGGTTGCAAAATTTATGTCCTGGGATGTTCATCTTTCAAAAAAAAAAAAACACCTTAGTTCTTCAGATAGGCTTGAGGGAAAGTCCAGAGTTTGTGTAAAAATTTTAATCATTTATATGAGGTGTGAAAACTTCTCTGGTCTTGTTGCAGAATTTAGGATTATTTTGGCATGGAACTTTATTGGTTATAGAAAAACTATACCTTCCTTGTTGAAAGAGCTACTCGCCCATTTCCTAAGTGTATCCTAAACCATATTAAGCATATGGCTTAGGATACACTTAGGAAATGAGCTAAGTGTATCCTAAGCCATGTAAGGAAGGTATAGTTTTCCTATAACCATCCTGTTAGGAGTCCTTCCACACAGCCATATATCACAGAATATCAAGGCAGATAATCCACAATATCTGCTTTGAACTGGATTATCTGAATCCACACTGCCATTTAATCCAGTCAATGTGGATTTTATACAGCTGTGTGGAAGGGGCCTCAGAGATCAAGTCTGCCTCCTGGTTATTCCACAGACTAGATGTTCTGTCGCGCGCTGGGCCTGTAAAGAATTTCCTTTAGAACAGGACGTGCAACCTTTGCCCTGCGGGAAGACAGGGGGCCCAAGGAGAAGTTCTCAGAGGTTTTCCACCACAAATAGTCTTTAGATGGCTTGTGAAGTATAACAAAGTATTTTATTAATGAACAATCAAACAGAAACTTCTCTTGTCTTCAGAAAGTTAAACAAACGATTCCAGGCTTTTATGCAACTGGTAGCTTCCTAAACTTGCCCACGAAGGACAGGCAACTGTCTTCAATAACTTCTTTACTTTAAAGGAAAGTCCCCTTTTTAACTTCTCCCAGGCTGACTGTAATCTAACCCTTACTGATGTGGGCTCCGCTACCGGGTCGAACTGCTTCTCGAACGCCGAGTGGACCTACCAGTAAAGGCTTAGATGTTCTCCAGCTGGAGTTCTTTGGTCTTTAGGGCTGTTTCCCTGGAAATCTTTGGAGACTCTTAAGACTGTTCTCCCCGGAAAGTCTTGGATGCTCTTAAGACTGTTTCCCCCTGGAAAGTCTTAAGGGTTGAAGCTTTTGTACAGGGGAAGCTTGCACACATCCTGTACATTAGCTTTCCTTGCTGAGACTAACTAAAAAAATGGCTCCCTTCCCAATTGCCCTGAGCAAGGGGCGGGACCAAAACTTAACGATGATGGACAGGTGACTTGCCCTATGACTGCAACCAAAGGAAGCCACCTACCTGCAGAGTCCCTGAAACCTTGGGCTGCAAACAAACATTTAATACAAAACAAATAGAGTTGGAGCTCCTGGTACAGCCATACCAGCACACTAGATATGAACTTCTGCTGGCACCCAGGTGCCTGTGTTTTCCTCTGCAGTGTAGTAGACATTACATGTGGTATGGTTTGTTGTCATTTTCTGCCAAGTTGACTTCCCTGTAAATAAGACACCTTTAGAAAACTCTGCCACTGAATCTTACAGATTTAAGCCTATGGCTTTGTACAGTGGAAGAGGAACATTTCACATAGAGTGAATCCACTCCAGGGTCTCATTCGTACAACTTCTTTTTCTTTCCCGGCCTGTTCTTTGTTGTTATTTGCCATTAAGTTGACTTCCATTTATGGGAACCCTATGAATAAAAGACTTCCAAGTCAAAAACCTCCAGGTCAACAAATACCTTGTGCAAGTCTTGTAAATGCATTATTTCCTCCATAAAACTTATATACCTGAAGTGCATTTTCCATCGTTTTCTACAGCCTTCCACTTTACTAAGAATTATAACCTTTCCCAGTGAGGCATATTGTCTCATTATATGGCCAAAATGCAACAGACTCTCTATAATAATCTTCTCTTCTAGTGTGAGTTCGGAATTGATTTGCTTCAAAACCCATTTATTTATCTTTTTAGCTGTCTGTGGTGTCCATAGAGCTCTCTTCAAAACAGTATATTTCTGATGAGTTATGTCAGGAGAACTGTAAAAATGTGCAAAATTTTATCTGTTCATTGTATGTATTTGGGTTATGTATGTATAAGTAAGTTTGTATCTTTAATTGCTGAAATGCTTGTGATGTGGTTTTGGTTAATTGGGTGCAGGTGGATCTAATTACTGTGGTTATAATGTGTTGCATCTGCCTGCAGCCAGCAGCAGCCTTCAGCAGCTTTCAGCGTCCCTCAGCGTTCTGCTATTGCTATAGCCTTGAGCTTTTGGAGAAGCTATGGCGTTTTGGAGTTTGGGACTCTAAATGTTTTGTTTAGGGTCTGATATCTGATGCAAGATGTTTGTTTTCTTACTTTTGATGTTTTCCACTATGAATTTATAATAAAGCAAGACTCTGCTCTTTTTCCCCTCTGTCGGTGTTCTTTACTGTCCTGCTTTCATGCCATAGATAGGTCTGGAAACCATGCCCTATGAGGAGCATCTGACTAGGACTTTGGACTAGGACTTTGAAGAATAGGGTTTGAAGCCCCACCAAGGAAACCCACTGGATAACCTTGGACAAGTCACACACTCTTAGCCTCAGAAAACTCCATGGTAGGGATGACCTTAGGATCACCTTAAATCAGAAACAACTTGAATGCACACAACAACAGGGTCTTCATATAGTCTCAAAATCTCAGATAGTTCTGCTTCACCCTCCCCAGTTTTTCCTTTTAAAAAAAGTCAACATATCTTGTTAAAACCAAATGCTCATTTCTGGTCTTTTAACAAGTCAAGACAGGAGAGAAAGCTGCAAGAGACCACGAGACGTCCCTCCTGAGAACCCTATTTTCTGCCGTTACAGTTATGATATGTGATGTGAGCTTGTTGTTTACATTAATCAGCTATGATTGTAAAATAAATAAATAACAAGGAGCTTTTTATAGATAGCATGTGATGAGGTGACTTGAACTGCAGAAGGTCTTGGCAGGACCGCTATTAAAAGAGCAGCAAAAATGCTCCAGGCTACTGACCTATATTTTGCACAAAGAATAATAATAACATTCAAAACAGCCCTCACTAATGACCTCTGGAAGACAATCTACTGTGGCCTTCAGTGTCAATGGGATGGTAAATCTGCTCCAAGTTTCAATCCAAACTTTCAAGGAGCTTTCCCAGGTGATAAACCCTATCCGAATAACATATATTGCAAACTAGACATGAGTCAGGCAAGTGATGAAGTGCAGAAAAGAATATATGTGCTTGATTCCCCTGGGATGTTTGGTTCAGGGGATTTTGTAAGTTTGAATGGTGAAACTGACGTGAAGCTTCCAACTTAGTAGCAGCCTGTGATCCAAACGTGTGTGTTTATGTGTGTATGTGAACATGGGCTGACAGACAGGAACTCATCCGTGCTCTCCCTGGATTTGAACCTCCTATCTGTCGGTCTTCAGTCCTGCCAGCGCAAGGGTTTAACCCATTGCGCCCCCGGGGGTTCCAATAATAATAATAACAACAACAACAATAACAATAATATAGTCACAGCACAGTATAAACACAGCAAACTAAGAATCAGTACAAGAAAACTGCACTCCAAACCAGAGCTGAAGCTGACACAACAAAGCATTGCATAGGCAGTTCCTTGACAAAATTGAAGGAAAAGTTGACAAGGAGAAGACCTGGTTATGGCTCACGAATGGAACAGTGAAGAAGGAGACAGAAGGCCTGATTCTTGCAGCCTAGGGCAAGCCATCAGAACAAATGCAATTAAAGCCAGGATTGAAACATCAGCTGATGACCCAAAATGCAGATTGTGCAAGGAAGCCGATGAAACCATGGACCATATCCTCAGCTGCTGCAAGAAAACCACACAGACAGACTACAAACAGAGGCACAACTCTGTGACCCAAATGATTAATTGGAACTTATGTTACAAGTACCACCTTTGACATAAGTTCCAATGGTGGGATCATTAACGTGCAAAGGTAGTGGAAAATGAACATGCAAAAATACTGTGGTACTTCTGAATCCAGACTGACAAAGTTTTGGAACACAATACACCAGACCTCACAATTGTGGAAAAGAATAAAATTTGGATTATTGATGTCACCATACCAGGTGACAGCTGCATTGAGGAAAAACAACAGGAAAAACTCAGCCATTATCAGGACCTCAAAATCGAACTGCAAAGACTCTGGTATAAACCAGTACAGATGGTCCCAGTGGTAATCAGCACACTGGGTGTCGTACCAAAAGATCTCAGCCAGCATTTGGAAACAATAATCATTATCTGTCAACTACAAAAGGCCACCTTACTTGGATCTGTGCACATCATTCGAAAATACATCACACAGTCCTAAATGCTTGGGAAGTGTTCGACTTGTGATTTTATGATACAAAATCTAGCATATAGATCTCGTTTGCTGTGGCATATTGTGTCTTAGATACTCACCCTGGTATTTTTGGCCACTACATCACACAATTCACTCACGTGTAGTCTGTAATATGTTGGGATCCCTGGAGCTTTCTTCCCATCTTTCTTTCAAGTCCCATTTCAGCATCTTTTCCTCTCTTCTTTCTCTTGCAGGTGGACTTGGAACCAGATGGGAAGGTGTTTGTCTCAATAACTCTGACAGGAAGCTTCACTGAGGGTAAGACTGTTTCTCCCCCTGGTTTACTAGTATTATTTGTTAGACTCACCTTACTGCAAGTAGGAGTCTCAGGTGGCATCTGAACATAGAGTAAGAATACCATAATTGCCCAAAAGAGTTTTGGAACCTTTGCATCTTTGTCAGAACAGCTTTCGAAGATGCTTCGATGGGACCAAAAGGTCTTCTTTTTAACAAGCTCAAACTGCACAGCAGGTGAAAAAGTCTGTGTTTAGGGACCTAAATGCATACTTTGTTTGTTTGCTTTAAATAACAGTTTTGGGGAAATGGGGGAGATTTGTTTGAATCTTGTGATGTGAAGAAGGAGTGTTGTACTAATAAAAGGATTGGGTTTTTTGAAGCTTAGGTAGGGAAACCAGGAATAAGATTGGCCATCATGGAAATTACTAACAACAGTTACCAAACAAACTTGGGAGTGGAGAAGGGCTATTTATGTATTGTATCAGAAGCGAACCAAGGGTATAGTTGTATAAAAAACCCCACACACAATGTTTAAAAACTTGGCATTATATTAAATGTCCTTTGACCAGAAGCTGGTCTCTTAGAGTGCCTCTTGTGTTGCTATAAGGAGGTCCTCCATTGTGCATGTGGCAGGGATCGGACTGCATTGCAGTAGGTGGTCTGTGGTTTGCTCTCCTCCACACTCACATGTCGTGGACTCCACTTTGTGGCTCCATTTCTGAAGGTTGGCTCTGCATCTCGTGGTGCCAGAGCGCTGTCTGTTCAGTGCCTTCCAAGTTGCCCAGTTTTCTGTGTGCCCAGGGGGGAGTCTCTCATTTGGTATCAGCCATGGCTTGAGGTTCCGGATTTTAGCCTGCCACTTTTGGACTCTCACTTGCTGAGGTGTTCCTGCGAGTATCTCTGTAGATGTTAGGAAGCTGTTTATTGATTTAAGGTATTGGCATGCTGGCTGATATCCAAACAGAGGATGGGCCGGAGATGCCAATGCCTCGGTCCTTTCATTGCTGGCTGCAACTTCACGGAGGATGTCAGGTGGTGCAATACTGGCTAAACAGTATACTTTCTCTAGTGGTGTGGGGCAAAGACATCCTGTGATAATGCAGCATGTCTCATTAAGAGCCACACCCACTGTTTTGTCATGGTGAGATGTGTTCCACACTAGGCATGTGTACTCAGCAGTAGAGTAGCAAAGCGCAAGGTCAGATGTCTTCACAGTGTCTAGATACAGTGAAGAAGGTGAATGGAGAGGAATATTTTCTTCTCTGGCTACTTTCTCATTAACCTCTATGAACATAGAGATAATTGCAAGATGTTTTGCTGGGATAAGATACAGAAACATAGGTTAAGAACTGTACATGCCACATTTCTGGTGTCCACATCCCTGACCCCCAAAGCCCATGACCTCCAGAGCCATTGACCCAGGAGATGTGACTGCAGGAGGTGGGTAGGTGAAATGAGACCACTTATTCCTGTGGAAACTTTCTTCAGTTCTTCAATTTGTAGCACTGCAGTAATTTAAAACATCAGAAAAACATATGGAAGTATGGTTTAGGAATCCAAAGGAAAGAGATAGGGAAATTTGCCAAGAAAATTTGTCTCATTCTAGGTCTGAACACTTTTCATTGTTTCATTCTCTGCAGTGCTAGAAATTTGAGGACTAGAGAAACCTTCCACCAGGGGAAGGGAGGCAAATAGTAATTTGGGTCACTTTGGTTGTCACCGACATTCCATTGTCCAATCTTGAAGTGAGAACAGCTAGTCCAGCGTGCGGCCGCCAGGATGTTAACTGGTGCTCCTTACAGAGAGAGGTCAACCCTCCTGTTCAAGGAGCTCCATTGGCTGCCGTTCATTTTCCGGTCCCAATTCAAGGTGCAGGTGCTTACCTACAAAGCCCTAAACAGTTTGGGACCTGCCTACCTGCGTGACCGCATCTCCGTTTACGAACCCGCACGCTCCCTCCGATCATCTGGAGAGGCCCTGCTCTCAATCCCACCTGCGTCGCTGGCGCTGGGGACGAGGGACAGGGCCTTCTCTGTAGTAGCCCCCAACTCTGGAACTCTCTCCCCAAGGACATCAGACAAGCCCCAACGTTGGCTGTCTTTAGGAAGCGCCTGAAGACCTGACTGTTCCAGTGTGCCTTTCCAGAATAGGAAACTTCTGGTTTCAAGTCCCAAATGCATCTTGCTAGAGATTCAGGATTATCTGCACATTGCACCTACCCCAAATACCTCTACATATTACCTGTCACGACAGCACTTTTTAAATTTTGTCCATTACATTTGGCCCGGCCTTTGGTTTTAATTGTGTCATGGTGTCATTGTTTTATTGTTTTATTGTTTTGCTTGATGTTTTATTATTTGCTTATGAGTTTATTGTGCATTGTATGTTGTTGTTGGCGGCGGCCTTGGCCTTTGTAAGCCGCATCGAGTCCTTCGGGAGATTTTGCAGGGTATAAATAAAGATAATAATAATAATAATAATAATAATAATAATAATAATAGCTTTGGGAGGCATTCAGACAACATGGTTTTGTTTTCTGATGCCCTGGAGACTAGGATGAGGAGCAGTGGCTTCAAACTACATAAAAGGAGATTCCACCTGAACCTTGGGAAGAAGTTCTGACTGTGAGAACTGTTCAGCAGTGGAAGTCTCTACCACAAAATGTGGTAGAGGCTCCTTCTATGGAGGCTTTTAAACAGAGGCTGGATGGCCATCTGTCAGGGATGCTTTGAATGCAATATTCCTGCTTCTTGGCAGGGGGTTGGACTGGATGGCCCACGAGGTCTCTTCCAACTCTATGATTTTATGATTCCATAAGATGAGGGTGGAGAATCATGATTTAAGTGCTGGTGCTTTTGCTTCTTCCAGAGGTTTTGGAAGAATTTACTTATGATATGTGACAATATTATTAATGTAATATATTCTTTCTCTGCTGTGAGTCATTGTCAGGCTCAGCAGTTCTCTCTGTAGGAATATCTGTGATTCAGACATGGAAGGAAAAAGAGATGAGTTGAGACTTGCCTTTTCCCCCGTTCACTCTCTATCTGTCATGTCATTAAATCTTGAGATAGTTCAGAATGGAAGATGCTGAATCCAGACTGCAATCTGGCAGCGAAGAGTGCGAGCAATGAAGTCTGTAGTTCAGTTCACGTGCCACACGCATTCTGTCACCTTGAACAATGGTTAGCAAGAATATTCACTAATTTTCTCATCCTAGATAAGAAAGGCTATCTCGGTACCTAAGCATTTGGCTGTTAACAGTCTTGAGGCTTTTCATACTGGCATGATCATCAAAAGACCTCAGCTATTTCCTAACACTGCAATACAAATAATGATGTTGATGATGATAACGATGAGGATGTTTCTATATGACACATCTTATTTTGTCTCCAAAACCTACTGTACATTGCACAGAGGTTTGGCTCTTACCGTGTTTGTGACTTACAGTAGTGTAAAGTTAGCATGATACTTTAAATCAGTAGTTCTCAACCTGTGGGTCCCCGGGTGTTTTGGCCCACAACTCCCAGAAATCCCAAAAGGTTTACCAGCTGTTAGGATTTCTGGGAGATGAAGGCCAAAACATCTGGGGACCCACAGGTTGAGAACCTGTGGGTCCATTTTTTTTTGTCATTGCAGAGGTCAGATTTTTTTTACCAACCACACAATGACTAATATGTTTCAAACTCACCTTTAACATTGTAGATAAAGGTAAAGGTTTCCCCAGACATTAAGTCTAATCGTGTCTGACTCTGGTGGGGAGGTGCTCATCTCCATTTCTAAGCTGGAGAGCCGGCATTGTCCATAGACGCCTCCAAGGTCATGTGGCCAGCATGACTGCATGGAGTGCCTTCTCGCAGAAGTGGTACCTGCTGATCCACTCAGGTAGACATGTTTTCAAACTGCTAGGTTTGCAGAAGCTGGGCCTAACAGCGGGAGCTTTCCCCGCTCCCTAGATTCAAATCACCAACCTTTTGGTCAGCAAGTTCAGCAGCTCAGCAGCTTAACCCACTGCTCCACCAGAAGACCCACATTGTAGAATGTGGTTATTTCTGTATCACTGGAAAGTAAGAGAATGCACAGAGATATGTTCAGCTATTTTTCTTTACCTGCAAAGATGTCATCTGCAAGGAGTCCCTGGGGATCACTGGAAGCCTGCAGTTAGTTTCCTATTATGGTGCATCCAGTTACAGGAAAACAGCTGATCCTTGCTATCCAACATAAACAAGACAGTCTGCCTTAAAACACACTGTATATACTCATGTATAAATTGAGGACAGGTTTTAGTGTTAAAATTTTGGATTTTGATCTGACCCATGGATAAGTTATTCTGCCACTGCCATTATTTTCCCACTTAAACTGCTCAGGGAAGGGGGTGGTTCCATTTTTGATAACAGTAAAGTTACAGTATTAACTCGGATCTGGGAAAATGCAGCCAACAATGCACAGATTGTTAATAGTAACAACAGTAACAACAAAAACAACAACTTCGGGAGCTGCCTATCTTCGCAACTGCATCTTCCCGTATGAACTCGTGCAATCTCTAAGATCTTCTGGGGAGGCTCTCCTCTCACTCCCACCCCATCACAAGTGCAGTTGGTGGGGACGAGAGAGAGGGCCTTCTGGGTGGTGGCCTCCTCAGCTCTGGAACTCCCTCCATGGGGAGATCAGGCTGTCACCTACCCTGTCCATCTTTTTCAAAGAGCTAAAAACGTGGATGTTCCACTGTGCTTTCGATTAGATGGTTCCCCAGACAAAATTTGGCCCCCAGATATGGCCCAAAATGAATTTTAGTGTGTTATATTTTAATAATGGAAGATTAGTGTTTCTTTTGAGGACCTTGTAAGAGACTTGAATCTGTGTCTGGATTAAGACTTCCTTGCTTTCTTTTGCATTTTTCAATTGCATTTGCTTATCCTTTGTGTTTGCTGAAGTAAAGCATTTTTCTTTTACTTTCAACCTTCCTAATGCCGCGACCCCTTAATACAGTTCCTTATGTTGTGGTGACCCCCAACCATAACATT